CTAGTAGCAAGGACACTACTAGTAGCTCCTGGCCTTGCTACTAGGAAGAAGAAGCTGCTAGTAACAAAGGGCATCGCTACTAGTAACCAAAAAACTGAGATTGATGCAGTGCCTTGGTGGCCGGAATTTCCACCAGTGTTGGGGCCCAGGCGCTTGAGGCAGAAGCCGTCCGGGACTTCTTGAAGCCACAGGCCCACGACTGAAGCGTGTAGCGATGATGCGTGACATGAAGAGACCAGCCCTGGAGAGTTTCTAGGTGTACATGAATTTGAGATAGTTTGAGTGAGTTGTGAGGGGCCCAGCTTTGTCAAGTGTAACGATTCATTGTGGGCAGGTTCCCGATGGCACGGTGGTCGATGAGGCCAACAAACCGCAGGAGCTTGATGAGACCTGACAGAGGATGACAGAAGGATTTGTGGATCCACAACAGGGTACAGGGCACCCATGTGTGCAAGCCTGTTCATGTCAATCATATCCTTATTGTGGATCTTTCCGGCATATATATATATATAGAAAACAAACACCGCATTTTGAGCTGCAATTTTTGGTGATTATGCGGGGCATTGCACGTCCATCTAAGGACAGCAAGCGGCAAACTCAAGTGGTTGCCTCGTTGGGACCTGCGTCTTGGAGCGAGGAGACCCTACTTGCAAGCAGGGCGATGCCATTGTCATATCTTGCTGGTGAGGCATAGAGGTCATGAGGCCCACCACATGTTCTCCACATGGACCTCGCGTGTAGTGATGCAGCAACGTTTGGATCATTGATGATATCATTGTAATCAGAGTTGGCTGTTGTCAGCAACACGGCACGACTGTGATCAGATGTTGGGAGGGATGGCTGGGTAATTTACAAGTCCTCGCCGTGCAGGAGATGATTCCAAAGATGATCGCGTCAGGGACGAACATTTTCCGCCTAAACTGTTCCCATCGCCGTGGTGGTGACTTCGAACGTGTCTATCCGCTGATCCGGAAGTATGCCAAGGGCAGCATGCCGCTAGTAGGCTCTAAGATATGATAAATAATTTAAATACCTCCTCTTACTGATTTTCAATGCAATTGCAATTCAACTTCAGTGTTGTTTTGGAGCAATTGTCGCAGGTGGTTCAGCAACCCAATCATCTCCAAGAAGTGCTAGCCTAGCATGTGGGTGATAAGCCACGCTCCCTGCCAGGAGATGGGGAAGAAGGTGGAATGCCTGGGTGACCTGCAGGCTGGTGATCAATGGCCGCCAGATGCGGCTCATATTCAAGTGTCATGCGTATAAAATTGCCGGATGAATCGGTCAGATTTCAACAGGGTTTTCCTCGTTGGACAGTCTCAGGGGTCGACCGTCTCAGAACTCGACCCGTCCAGGGCCCCAAGTTCCGTGTGGGCGAGCTGGCGGCAGACCCTGTGGAGCTGAAGAACGGCGATATCTTGGAGTTCGGCGCCATGGCTCCGGGCACCATGGGATGTTGGGTAGTGAAAGGCCTGAGCAAGGAACGTTTTGAGTAGCGTTGGAAGCATATGTACGATGAGATATCAACTACAAGGTGGTCCAATAAAATCACATTTTTCATCAAGTGGTCTTGACTGTCATACAGTAAGTCTTAGATATGTTATGTTATGTTGTTTAGATTTAGATTTGTTCATCTTCAGATATATGATATAAGTCTACAATAGTCCAAATTAGACTTTGAGTGATATCACAAGGGTTACCACCACCACCACTGCAATAGCGGAATTTGGGACTGGTAGTGACCATACCTCATCAAATTGCCATGTGGATCCATTTGGACCTTTTGCATCCCTTTGTGCTACCGTGCTACAGGGCTGGTGCTTCTTTCATGTCACATTGCATGGGATGACTGCTGCTTGTAGAGGTTGGCAAGAGCTTGCCCAGGTATTTGCAAGGATGACAGTGACCTCATCCGCCCTGGGCGCATCACCATGAAGCCCACTGTGGAGCAGAATGCCTTGGTGAAAGCTTGTACTTTGCCGGGCAAGAAGCCTTCTCTAGACTCTAGCCCACCCTTCCCCCACAACCCTGTTCTTAAAGTTTCTATGCGAGTTCTGCATGGCATAGCATCGCCATGTTTCGTTGGTGCTGTTTTTTGGCCACAACGGTTTTGCACAGCAATGTAGAACTGAGCAGGTAAGCCCGGAACCCCTTTGCTGCTGGAAGATGGCATCATGGAGGTGAAGGTCGTGGAGAAGTGTTCTGAGACGGAGCTAAAAGTGGTGGTGCCTTCGCATCAAGACATTGAACGAGTTCGACCTTATACATATATATATATATATGTATGTCCGGCACGGCCAGTGGATGCCAGTGGGCAGTAGGTTATGGCATGTTATCATGAAATCGGGATCGCCTTCTTGTTTGAGGTCAACGCATCAGGTTCTTGGACACACCGACGTCAACCCATAGTTCAGCACGGCCTTCCATCAGGCCTTTCAATGTCATAGTTCTTCCATAACGAGATTTAGTGATCTACGGCCGCCAACTGCTTGGCCTCTGCAGACCGCTTGCTGGGAGGTCGGAAGTATCAACTGGTGGGATACTTTAAACCATAGGTCATAGGACCTCCTAGCACCTGATTCTTGGATGACATGACAATGACATGTTCACACCGAAGTGTTTTTCCTCCAAGCTTGGGACACGGCACCCGCTTTTCGAAGGTTTTTGTATGACTTCCGTGATGATTCGAGAGGACGGTCCTGGACCGTCAACCGTCCGTGCCTGAGGTGATCCGAGGAGGAAAGTTGAAGGCGCGCAAGGGCGTCAATGTGCCCGACGTGGAGATCGACTGCGCCGCCCTCACGGAGAAGGACATCGAGGACCCGAACTAGCTGCCAGAGCATGCCAGAGCCGAGTTTGATACCTGTGGTCACTGTGGTGACTGTGGTCAGCAGAAACCCTGCAAGATAGACACCGAAGGGGCGGAGACTGTATACATTCTGCAACAGCACTGCAGTTTGGTTAAGGAACAGCAGTTTGCATCGCTGTGAGCTGTTTGGACTGGATTTTGACTTGATGCATGATGCTGATGTAAATTTAAACATTCAGGATGCCGAATACCTGCTTCAACTGGACCCACCTATTGAGTACATTTGCGTATCCTTTGCTCAGAAAGGCCGGCTGGGAATCGCTAGTTTAATATATGCAGCACCCACGTGGTTCTGAATTGCCAGCAACAAGTGGGTACGGTGCCGCCATGGTTTCGCACGGTGCCGCCTCGTTCGCACCTCGCTGGTTAGGTCAAGATTTGCAAGAGCTTATTGACATCATGGATCGATTGAAAGTGCCCGCTGACAAGCGCCCCAAGATTTGCCCCAAGATTGAGAAGCCTCAGGCGTGACAGGGTGATGGGTGATGGCACACGAGGCACCTGTCAAAACATGGTACGTAGAGCCGAAGATGTGAGCCGCCTTCAATCCTTGAGATTTTGCACAAAACCCAGGGAAGCGATGCCCCCCCAACAACATTGTCCAAGTGGATTTGCTTGACATGTGTTTCTATTGCTTCTTCTTTCACGAGCTTTTTGATCTGAAACGTATATATATATATAATTCCACACATACTTGTAAGAGGCAACAAGCATTTCCCGTGGGGCCAAAACTCAGGAAATTGAAGCGATACCCCAAGCTATGCCCTGGATCATGTCAGTCCATCACTTGCGGACTTACATAGGTTGACTTGAAACCAACCAAGATGTTGCGGCAACAGCTTGGTGAATTCTGTTAGCTGCTTGCATAGCGCTGCTACATAGTGTCAGCTGAGCTTTGTGAAGTTTGCGTGCTTGTCTACTTTGAGTGCTCGTGCTCATACATACACTTGTTTGGTTGAAGCCTGCCTTGACTATACAAGAAAACGATGCCTCCCTTCCAAGCTGAAGTCTAACGTTGTGCTGAGGGAACAGATGGCCCCCCGCAATCTACATGATGACATAAGATTGAACAAGGAGATTTGACAGCCGCACACACACACATGGCCTTTGTGGTACTAAGCAGCTTGCCCTCAATTTTTGGCAATGCAGAGCAGAAGAGGTCCTCTCCAGAGAAATGACATGAATTGAATAAACACCTTTGACCTTCCATCAATGAGAGGTCCTGTCACTCTGTAATTACATCTTTATAACGAGATGCACCTGAAGAAGGTCACCGTCAAGCCAGCATAATCGTATACCATATACTCCAGAATGTGCGGGGTACTCACTCACCAATCATTGACATCATTGGCACTTTTCCTTGTCAAACCCTTTCAGTTGGTTTTCGCCAACATTTGAAGGCCTTCACCAACATCGAGGGCATCATCGCGAAGTCCCAGGCACTCATGGTGGCACGTGGTGATCTCGGCGTGGAGCTGGGCCTGAACCGTGTGCCCTTCGCGCAGAAACTCCTCATCCAACGTGCCAAGCAAGCAGGGCTGTTTGTGATCACTGCCACACAGATGGTGGAGAGCATGATTGAGAACCCTGTGCCAACGCGTGCGGAAGTCTCTGACTTGATGAGCCTCAGTTGAACCGGATTGGGGCTGCATTGTTTTTTTCCAGAAGGTTCTGCTCTCTTCAACCGTGCTAAATAAACTATAGTAAATTTCCTTAAGAATAACAGTACATTGCACACACACACAGGCATCGTGTTTATTGTATATACTTATGCATAACTTATGCATATATATATACATACACATGACGTGCCTTTGTCAAACATTTCAGGTACGGTATAATCATGTTTCTAATTTTTGCTTGTTTCATTTGCACGCTGATGTCTGATCTCCAAGTGTCCATTCCCGACTACCCCAGCACCAGCTTATCATGCTTATCCAGCCCTTCTACGAGCCTGAGGAATGCTGTTTGGGACGGCACAGATGCAGTGATGCTCAGTGGTGAGGCAGCAACGGGAAAGTTCCCATGCGAAGCCGTGATGGCCGAAGCCTCTGCAACTCGAGAGGCGGATGTGGGGGGCAGCGCTATGGGCTGCTGGCCATCGGGTAGGAGACGGTATTTCAACCATTTTCAGCACATTTCAATAAAGGGTGCGTTTTTGAATTGTTGGTGTATGTATATAAATGCCAATGCGCATTATGAAGCTTCTTGTAGCATATTATGCGCATATGAAGCCGGAGTCAGAATAAAGAAGCTGAACATTCTTACCCTTGGACACCATAGATACGCACATTATATATATATAGATACATATACATACACATATACTATCACAAAGGAAGCTCATATGTTGCAGGACTTTTTTTTTCTTGACCTCGCATGTTTTATTTGATTAACTCATGGCTCAGTTGCAATTCTATCCACAGAAGCTAAGAACGTTCAGAACTGGATGTTCTTAAGCCGCATACCTGGACACAGTGGCAGGCAGAGACCGTCAAGCATCGCTTGCAGAAAGCTTGCCCATATGTGGCAGCTCAGCCTAAATGAGAGCATCCACAGATGTGTTCAAAGCAGTGAGAGAATTGAACGTATAGCGTCACGGCTGCCTTGCTTTTGTTGCTCAACCAATTCAATGGTCCACAGGAAATCGGAAATCCCTTTCCTTTGTATAAATACTTGGACAGTTGCTTCGAGCCGTTTGCCAGCCATGCCAGACATGCCATCCATGCCTAGGCCATTGACAGCCGCTTGCCATTGCGTCCACCAAGAGCCTTGAACTGTGGAATGGCGCTGAAGCGACAGGAGACGGACCACAACAAGAGGAAGACGAAGGCACGAGAAAACCGCAAAGGTATGATCACCTTCACTGATATGTGGATTCAAAAAGCAAAGTTTGGATTCCTTCCAAAGCATATCGACACTGTTCTGGATACTTGCTGCTTTTCTTTCCGCATCCGCATCACATGCAGGATCATGCAGGTATTTGACCCGTTTCCCCTCGTATCCCCTCGTTGGTTTTGGCCCTTTCGGAACTGACCCGTTTCGGGACCGAACACATTTTCTTTTCACCGCCAGGTGGTGGCCAGTCTGGGCCCTGCTTCCTGGAGCGAAGAGATGATCCCGAAGATGATCCAGGCGAGTTGGGGGAGACTGGTTGCACCGAAGAATCCCTGCAAGTTGGACATGTTGAAAGGTGAGCCCCCCCCACAGCTCTACCAGCTTGGGAGATGAAGCATTCTCGAAATGGAAGCTTGTAGCAGAACAAAGTGGGCTCAGTATGCTTGCCGTGGCTTGACCATGCCGCCATGGAGCTGGTCAAAAAAGACCCGCTCATTTTGATCAGTATATATATACTGTATATACAATTTATATATCAATGTTCCACTGTTTACGGTGCTACGTATTGCTGAATGCGCCCCAGTCAGGCCGGCGCCGACATCTTCCGCCTGAACTGCTCTCACCGCCGGGGTGGCGACTTCGAGCGGGTCTATCCACTGATCCGGAAGGCAGCCCAGGAGCTGGGCCGAAAGGCTGGAGTCGGACATTCCTTCCATCAAAAGCGTCATGACCAATAAGATCTACGATCTCTTTACTGGCTCTTAACCGGGGCTCCGCATGCTGTTTGAGAGATTCGGTTTTTAGAATTGGCTTCTTGGTGAAAGCTTCGCAATTCACCCGCAGACTGAAATTGAAGGCTTTCAAACCATGCACACTCGAGCACTGGGAAGCTCTCCGGTGTCTAAAGGGCTATCATCCGGAGTTCTTGCGGCTGCGCCAGGTGGAGTGCTTGGGAGACCTCCAGGGTCCCAAGTTCCGCGTGGGTGAGTTGGCCAGCGATCCAATCCCGTTGAAAGATGGAGACGTCTTGGAGTTCGGTATTTGCAAGGCTTCGCCGGCCGCGCGATGTTCGCGGAGACCGCGTTGGGTTGTGTAGAGGTGGGTTGTTGTGTCTATGCATTCCTGGCATGTAGCTTCATGATGCTTCATGGTAATTGACTCAGTCCCTTTGTACCTTTGTCATCCTTTTTGGTGTCAATGTGGGGGTACGTTGGAACTTGGCCAACCACTGCAAACTTTTTGGCGGTGTGCACCAATTGGCTGAAGGATGACAGTGACCTCATCCGGCCTGGCCGCATCACCATGAAGCCCACAATCGAGCAAAATGCTTTGGTGAAGGCTTGCAGCTAGGCTTTACATGGAGGGGGTGTTTTTCGAGGAGGGTGCACAGTCCTCAGAGCTTTCAAAACGTGGATGCGGCATCGGAGAGAGTCCTTGCATGATCCAGCAGATTCCAAGTGCTGACAGTTGAGATCCTTCAGATGTGTTTGACATGTCTTAGGTACTCCTGGCACACCATTGTTGCTGGAAGATGGCATTATGGAAGTGCGCGTGGTCGAGAAGCTCTCAGACACCGAGCTCAAGGTGAAAGTTGTGACTTGGCAATGAGCTCAAGAGCAGAAGTGGGGAACATGGCCCTGGCGTTGAACAAGAGCATATTTGAAGTTACACACATATTATATATATTTTTACCTGTGTGAAGAGAGTATAGAGCATCTGTTCATTATTTGATATTATTTGTACCGTTACATCGGTTTGGTGGATTTCTTCAGCCAGAGCTTTGGCTTTCGATCTAGTAGCTGTGCAAAAGAACACTATGGTAACAAAGAAACTACTAGTAACAAGGGCATCGCTACTAGTAACAAGTGCATTGCTACTAGTAGCAAGAAGCTACGACTAGCTATAGAATCGTTGCTTTTTGGGACTTTCATGCAGGTTTGCGTTTGCCTAAGCATTTCGATGATGGATGGTCAAAGCGGACTGGACCATTTCCTGGGTAGAGCCTTGTGTGTTGCTTGCCATATAAGGTCCGTGGTGGGAAGCTGAAGGCTCGCAAGGGTGTGAATGTGCCCACGGTGCAGATCGACTGTGCCGCCTTGACGGAGAAGGACATCGAGGACTGTGCTGCACGGCACTAGGATGGATTGGTCATGGGTTTGCCAATATGCTGGTAGCTTGGTGACTTGCTTCCACCAAGACAGGAGCAAGCGTATAGTTGATGTTGGTGTTAGTTGAGATTGTAGAGGAATGTGGTGTTTCACGCCCCATAGTTCCACTTCCACAATGTTTCACACGCTCCTTGCACAGGATGCCGAGTACCTTTTGCAGTTGGACCCCCCCATCGAGTACATTTGCGTGTCTTTCGTGCAGAAGGGCCAGGACTTGCAGGAACTCATCGACATCATGGATCGCCTCAAGATTCCGCAGGACGGGGCCCCTAGACGATGCCCAACAAAAACATTGGATCATATGAGTGGCCTAGTGGCATTCTATAATCATCTAAAATATTCTACGCATCTTTGAGGCGGCTCTCTTTATGTCAAGTTTCCCCAAGAAGCCTTATCCTGCACCCCATCGGTAGCTTTTTGTTTGGTTAGGAGCTACTCCATACTTGCTTCCCCAAGTTAGGTCAGGCCATTTGGTTCCAGGGAGTGCTGCGCACTCAGTGTAGCGACGGCTCCCTTTTCCGAGCTCGGTGGCCACGGCGCGGCCCAAGCGCCCGGGTCGTCTCAGATGGTCACAGGAGCGCCGTCCAAAAATCTGCCCGAAGATCGAGAAGCCACAGGCGATGTCGGCGAGTAGTTTACGCTGAGTATATCAAGGCGTATCGAATAAAGCATTCCCAAATTCTTCGATGATGATTGTATGGGTGGTAAGATAAGAGTTTCGGAGCAACGCAGTTCTTTCGGGTTTGTTTCCTTCTTTGCCCTATTCATCCAGCTGCTTTGGGCCACTGTTCGAGTTGTTTCGAGAACCCACCCTTCATCCCAGGCACTGACCAACATCGAGGGCATCATCGCCAAAAGTCAGGCGCTCATGGTGGCGCGTGGAGATTTGGGTGTCGAGCTGGAGCTCGAGCGTGTGCCCTTCGCACAAAAGTTGCTCATCAGGCGGGAGGTTGGGATGGGCTCGTGAGGCTTCATGAGTCATCGGATTGGATTTGATTCAATCTTATAGTCATGAGGATTGCATGCACCACTAGCCTCAGGAGAGCAAAGGATGCTGGTCTTTTCGTCTCCTGGATTGGCCTTCTCATGTTTTTGCTTTATTTTAGCGTGTGTGTGTGTAAAATTATTTTTGATTATTTTTGCATGGATTTGAATTGATATGACCAGTCGGGTGTGTCGTGCAACTAAATACAACTTAGTGGCCGAAGAAGACAACCTTTAAGGTCATCAATGCCACGCAAATGGTGGAAAGTATGATCGAGCGGCATAGCTGCATTGAACATTTCAGAGAAATAGAGAGAGAGAGAGAGAGAGAGAAAGAAGGAACGAAGGAAGGAAGAAAGAAAGAAAAACAAAGAAAGACAGACAGACAGACAGACAGAAAGGGAAGGAAGAAAGAACAAAAGAAATAGAATAACGAACGAAAGAAAGGGAGAGAGAAAGAGAGAGAGAGAGGGAGGGAGGGAGGGAGGGAGGGAGGGAGGGGCGAGAGAGAGAGAGAGAGACAGTGGCGTGGCTTGTAGCACGCACTGGTGCTTACATGTTGAATTGTAATTGTTTGCTTCCAGATGTTTGTCGGACACATGGTGTTCGCTTGTTTGGCTAGCAGCTAGCATGTCCCGCAGCATCTGAAAGCAAAGCTCAAGAGAGCCCTTCTCAACCCAGGCAGCCGATCCCCACCAGAGCAGAAGTTAGCGACTTGCAGAACGCCGTGTGGGATGGTGCCGATGCTGTGATGCTTAGCGGCGAGGCAGCCAGTGGCAGGTACCCTTGTGCCCTGGCCGATATCACTTGCGCGGATCTTATGCTGTGCCAGAGTCACCTGTTGTGGGAGGCCATGTCATCCCTTCTACTGCCCTGTCGTTTCGTGGGTTTTTGCTGCACTATCTCTTCAGGACAAGGCTGAAGTGAGCCGACAAATCCACACCTCTCCCGTGTTTTTGGGCATCTCCCACGTGCTCAGGCGAATCGGTGATGGCAGAGGCGGATGCAGCTCTTGAAGCTGAAAGTGTGAAGCACCTCTTCGTACCTCAAGTCTTCGATGACTATGAAGCTTGGCCGAAGGATGCCGAAGGAATGTAACACGTTGCTGCATGCTCTCGAGATATTGAACTGATACTGTGAACAAATGAAACACGTATGTGATCAAGTCGGTATGCAGCCATTCGCATTCGCGTGCCCAGGTAGTGGACGAAGCAAACAAGCCCAGAGAGTTGGACGATAGCAAGAGGAGGACCAAGGTGGTGGCAAGTCTTGGGCCATCCTCATGGAGTGATGAGATGATCCAGAAGATGATCTTGGCTTGGACCCCCAGGGCTGTGGCTGCCTTCAAAACACAAATGCCGCTGAAGGGGACTTCCACTCAACGTGGCCAGAAAGTCTTCTGATCCACTGTGATCCACCAATTGTATCCTACTGTAAGGTTGTGGACGTGGGAACAGAATTATACTTGACCACCGCAGTCAGAGTGGACCGTGCAAATGCATGTGCACATACTGATACTCGATTTGTTTCGATTTGTGCACTCTTCGTGACCAATGTGGCCTGTCGCAAAGGTTTAATTGGTTTATCCTCAACCTGCAGGGGTGTCAGTGTTTGCACATATCGTTTCCAGGTTTCCAGCTAGAGCAATCCAGATTTACGCTTCAGGCAGGCACCGACATCTTCCGGCTAAACTGCTCTCATCGCAGAGGCTGGCTCGTGCTGTCAGGAAGACAGTGGAAGTGCATCATTAATGTGAGAAACCACTCAGCCATTTACCTCGAGTCTTTGTGATGGAAAGACCCCCTGTCCATCCATGCCACTACCTTCAGCACTACTCATCCTTGGTGGCAGGTGGCGACTTCGAGCGAGTCTACCCCTTGATCCGCAAGCACTCGAAGGTGACGGTCACAGGGCCAAGGGCAAGCATAGACGAGCAAAAGGGCCAACACGTTCAAATAATCTGGATGTGACAGGAGAGCGCACACACGCAAACATGCACGCACACACACACACACACTTATGGATATGCGTACTGACTTGACAGCGGTGCCACACGCCAGCCTAAGAAACCCAAATCCTGAAAGATCCAGGAAAGTCCTAAAGAACCTGGGGGTCTTCAAGAGGAAGTAAGGCCCAAAGCGCAAGCCGGAGTCGGAGCGACAGGGTGACGTCGTAGCGTGCAAGTCTGCGAAGCCCACTAGCACTTTACAACATGTCTCGGTAAATGTTAAAAATCCAGCAGGTACACAGAGCTGATCAGGCTCTGCTTCCGCACAAGTGGATAGCTTCGTTGGGTGCAGTTTCCACTGTGCTCTGCACCCCCCTGCTCAAAACAATTCAAAAAGAATCCCTGTGACTACAAGGGGCACACACACACACACACGCCTCCCCAAAGGAGGCGCTCTTACCTAGTAGCGTCCTTGCACCTAGTAGTAAGGCCAGGAGCCCCCAGTAGCGTCCCACTCTAAGGTCCCGACAGGAGGGAGGGGTAGGGAGAGAAGAGAGGAAAGAAAAAGAAGAAAGGAACAGACTGCGTTCCCAGGTACGACACAAGCGTCCAAGGACACACCAAGAGAAAAGAAGGGTTCCCAGCTATGACGAAAGCATCCAGGGACACCCAAACAAGAAGGAGGGAAAGGAAAGGAAGGAGAAAAAAGAGAGAGAGGGAAAAGAGAGGAAGAGGACAGGTGTTCCCAAGCGTCCAGGGACACACCAGGGAGAAAGGGGTGAACCTGAGTATTACATTCAGGAACACCCCAACAAGCGACGGGGGAAGAGAGGGGTGGGGGGAGGAAGGGGGACTAAGCTCTCGACCCTCGACAGATTCCAATGAAGTTTAAACATGCTTTGACCGCTATGGTCACCTTGTGCCTTGCCAAAATGGCTGGCTGCTTTGACCGCTGCAGTTACGTAAAGGCATGAGCCAACTTGGAATTCAATAATTCGTCAAGTCTTGGCAAATAACTTTGGCGTAAGCCTTCTACGCCCGCTCTGGGCACGTACATATCCGGGCAGGGGAGATAACGACAGACACCCGTTCGACGGGTCCACGGGAGGCACTCTACGGGCTCATCCCGGACTGGCACGAGGTCAGACACACTTATGGGCGTACCGACTTGACAGCGGTGCCACACGCCAGCCTAAGAAACCCAAATCCTGAAAGGCCCAGGAAAGTCCTAAAGAACCTGGGGGTCTTTGTAAAGAGGAAATAAGGCCCAAAGCGCAAGCCGGAGTCGGAGCGACAGGGTGACGTCGTAGCGTGCAAGTCTGCGAAGCTCACTAGCACTTTACAACATGTCTCGGTAAATGTTAAAAATCCAGCAGGTACACAGAGCTGATCAGGCTCTGCTTCCAGCACAAGTGGATAGCTTCGTTTGGTGCAGTTTGAACTGTGCTCTGCACCCCCCTGCTCAAAACAATGGCACACACACGCACGCACGCAGGCAGGCAGGCTGGCAGGCTGGCAGGCACGCAGGCACGCAGGCACGCACGCACGCACGCAGGCACGCACGCAGGCACGCACGCACGCAGGCAGGCAGGCAGAGAGAGGGAGGGAGGGAGAGAGGGAGGTAGTTATAATATGTGAATATATATATATATATCTATATTTGTATACTTTCTAAAGAAAAGACAGTAGATGGAAGCAACTTCAACGCGTGCTAGGAGCTGGGTGTGAACGTGGCCTGCTTGGGCGATTTGCAGGGCCCCAAGTTCCGCGTGGGAGAGCTGCTGGGCTGCATGGTTTGGTTTCTACAGATCATCGAACCGTTCATGTAATTACATGTTTGCGTTAGATGAACTGGGTTGCTTTGGGCAACCAAGCATACTCAGGCTGGCTGCAGATCCGATTCCCTTGACCAACGGAGAGATCCTTGAGTTTGGTGGCTAGGTGGCAGGAAGACACAGTCTGCATCAAGATGTCTTCTGTGCTTTCCCTGTGGAATGCGGAGCATGTCAAGATATGATGAGGACAAAAGATGACTCAGATGACAAAAACATGGCAATCCAAGGAATTTGCAAGGATGACAATGACACGATCAAGCCTGGACGCATCACCATGAAACCAACTACTGAACAGAACTTGGCTTAAAGTTGATCAAGTTTTGGAAGACGTTTTCAGAATGTCGCAGATGGAGCAACAGTAGGACTCCCAACAAACCATGCCGCAATATCGGAGATGTCCACTTGCTGAGCTGCTGAACCAGATGATGTCCATAGATATTCACAGATTTTTTGCGATTTTAACGTCAGTCGAATCATCGTGATCCCACGGGTTACTCGTTGCTTTGGATCCAGGCCACGGTTGTTGGCATCCCACATGGATTCCGGTGAATTTGGTGTTTAGATGTTTTGATGATTTTGGATCCGTTCTTCTGACGCTGCTGCTGCTTCTTGCGCGCCGCTTCAGGAACGCCTTGGTCGAGGCCTGCAAGGTGGGCACCGTGCTACTCATCGAGGATGGATTGATGGAAGTGAAGGTCACTGAGACACTTGGAATGGAAGAAGTTTTTTTTGATTAGTAAGTCTATCTCAATAAGCTATATATTATGTTGTTTTGTCCACGTATTTTCAGCTATCCCCTGGAAAAAGAAGACCGCCCTTTAAGATTGGTTTTATTCCAGCATCAGCGAAGACTTCAATGGCTGTCCAGACTACCCCCCAAACCCCCCAAAAAAGAAAGGCCGTGAGAACCAACCATCGACAAAATGGCTGCCCCTTTATCCGGCAAAGATTGGCCCGCTTGGAAACAAGAGTTGACGTTCATGCCTATAGATTCCTCAGTGCCAGAGCGGACAGCTCCACAGTTGTTTGTTGGAGTTCTGGATGTACAACGATGATACAAGATGAGATGTTTTGAAAGGATGTCGAGTGGAAAGAATGCCAAGTTCGGGGGCAACGGGTCGAAAACGCCAACACCGCGCAATCGAGGAAAATCTCCAACACCGAGCTGAAGGTTGAAGTGATCCGCGGAGGCAAGCTGAAGGCCGGAACTCGAACCTACGACGTTACTTTTACAGCTCCGTTATCATCCACTCTATGTTTGCCTTTTCGTGTTTGGTGGGTGTCTAACGAACTTCACTGCTTTGGCCTGCAAAGAAAGATGTATACAATTAAAGATTAAAGACATGCTTGCCCGGCGCCTCCTTTTCTCATTACCATTCCTCACGCTCTTCCAGAGTGCTGGTGTTATGGTCGAACTCTTCCAGCGATCGCAAGGCTCGCAAGGGTGTCAACGTCCCGGATCTGGAGATCAATTGCGCAGCTTTGACCTCCAAGGAGGGATGTTTTTTGAGACGGACAATGGTTAGAAACAATTGAAAACAAAAAACGCACTGGAACATGCTGGAACTGGAGTGCAGGATATTGAGGATGCTGAGTTTTTGCTGCAGCTGGATCCACCCATCGAGTACATTTGCGTGTCTTTTGTGCAGAAGGGCCAGGACTTGCAGGAGCTCATTGACATCATGGCGCCTGGGCGCAAGCCAAGTTGGAGCCCAATCAGTTCCAGGGGCCCCTTTAATAGCCACGTCTAGTAATATATTCACTATTATAACATGTAGGTTGCGAGGACATCCCTACTTAGCCATCAGCAGGTTTCAACACAGGCAGGTCCATTCCTCGACAGGCCACGGCAGACCTCGAACCCACTAAGTCGTCAATCCTTGCAAACAACAATAGGAGGCTTGTAACGGTTTGTAGCCACACTCTTGCTTCAAGCTTTTTTGCCTTTTTCGTGCAGCCCACTCCCAGAACTCCCCAGCAACAAGAATGCTTTGTGAAGTTTAGTTCCCTCAAAATCTAAGAGCCAAATCATTAGTGCAAGTGCTTCTTCAAGCAAGCTCCCCCCCGACCTCAGGCTGGGGCAGCTTCCTTGAAGAAGCGTGAGCTATCCCGAGTCCTAGCTAGGAGCGAACTTCTCCTGACCTAATTAAGTAAGGCGCCTACTTAATTAAGTAGGAGCGGCCCCCCCACAAAAAACAGAAGCATACTGTGACGCCTTAGAGCTTAGGATCGCCTCAAGATCCCAGCTGAACGACGACCAAAGATCTGCCCCAAGATCGAGAAGCCACAGGCGAAGATGCGGCCGTGAGAGATGGCTTTCGGAAAGCTGAAAGCTGATAGGACGAGCAGCAATTATGCATATAATATTAAGACGATTCAGACTTGAGAGCAACCAAATTTGACGAACTTAAATGACCAAGAGTTTAACAATCCGCGTAGAGTTCTCCGGCACTGAGGTGCCTTTAAAGGTTCGCAAAGCAAAGCACCCACCTCTTCCGAAGTCCCAGGCGCTGACCAATATCGACGGTATCATCGCGAAGTCCCAGGCGCTCATGGTGGCCCGTGGTGATCTCGGCGTGGAGTTGGGCCTGAACCGTGTGCCCTTCGCTCAGAAGTTGCTGATCGCACGCGCCAAGCAAGCAGGGCTTTTCGTGCCTTGGTGATGGAATGCATGGTAGCCAGACTCTGCTGAGAGAGAGAGAGGGAGTCTTTCAGGCTATGCATTTGAGATAGACGCGTGGCCAGGAATCAAGTAGAAGTTAACTGTTAACTATTTAACCAGTAGGAACCCCAGAATCCGAATGCGTGGCTTCTCTTTAGGTGATCAATGCCACTCAAGTGGTGGAGAGCATGATCAACAACCCAGTGCCCACACGTGCTGAAGTGAGCGATGTGTGCAATGCCGTTTGGGATGGTGCAGATGTGCCCTGTCTTAATCGGCACACATTTGCAAACGACTGGGATTGTAATGCCGGAAGGCCCACCGAGCTCTACTGAATTACATGGTTCAGGAATTTTGTTCCATGTGTTGTCAGGACAAGCAAACTCGGTATCGCAGCATGTCTTTGACCAAGCCAGTGAGTCCTACTACTGTCTCTAGTTAGTCTAGGGAAACAATGCATAAACCGATCTGGCTCACGTGTCGCGCTTTCCTTTGGCAGAGGAGCATCCCTTTCATTAGGATTTTCTCTTCAGAATTGTGGTATCTTAGGCTGTGATGCTTTCTGGAGAGGCCGCCAGTGGCAACTTCCCCTTAGAGGCTGTGCCTTGGCATGCCAGATGCGTGACGGGGTTGGCTTAGGTTTGCTACTCCATATATCTCCATACACTTACATCGTTACATCCTGGATCCTCTGGACGCACGGACGGCTCACCTTTTCGACCGGTCATTGCACTGAGGTCATGGCTGAGGCTTCAGCTGCACGGGAAGCGGAGTCGGTGAAGCACCGCCTGAGGCGTGCCTGCCCCCCAGTAGAGTCAGGCGGGGACATCGGTCGTTGGTGGCATGGAGGTGGCTTGGACAATAAGACCCAGGGGGCTGAGGGTCCAATGTTCCATGGTTTTATTCTTATCAATTAGCTTTGCTTCTACTAGTGGATTCTTGAATGACACCTCAGTTTTGAGCCATGGCGGGCGCAAGTGCCCGGTGACGCTGTTGTTCCGGAAAGGGCTGACTGGTTTTTAGATGTAACTTGTTGTTAATTTTGAGGCGGAGCTTTCAAGGTCAAGAGGAGCAAAGAAGTTTGACGCGTGATGCCAGAGACCAAACCCTTGAGATGCCCAGTGGTGATGGTGGAGAATCAGTTTGCGGTTTGGGAGGATCACTGCACCGTTTCCCACAAGTCCTCTTTGTTGAATGCTTCATGACATGAGGGTTGAGAGTGTTGGCTGAGAGGACGGACTCGTTTCATTTTGCTGTTCTGCGGCATGCTGTAGAGGGATGTAGGGGGTTGACAATGCTTTGCGACATACAACTGCCATCAACTGCCGACCTACAGGTGATGTCGTGCCACCAATGCTGCACGTGAACATGGGCAACAAGAAGCAGGACACCTCCACAGCATGATGGGAGGTCAGGGATGCTCGTTCAAGACAAGTCAAGGACAAGTGGTAGGGTATAGGGTGGGAAATGCCTTGGACTGGCTGAGCTTGAAAGGGTTTTACTTCTGCTTCACCTGCTTCACTTGCTGGATGTCGCCTTGTGGCTAGTGCTTTTTGCTTTTTGCCCGCCAGTAGATCGAGCCACACCAGGAGACCAATGATGCTCTGAGGAAGACGAAAGTCGTGGCCAGCTTAGGCCCAGCCTCGTGGAGTGAGGAGCGCTTTGATGTTTTCGATCGGTTCCGAACGTGGCTTCTTGTTCCTAGCAGTAAGGCTAGGAGCCCCTAGTAGCGTCCTTGCTCCTAGTAGTAAAGCTGGGAGCCCCTAGTAATCTTGTTCGTCTACTCTTCCGAGGGCTGCACTTGTTTGGAGGGTTTGGGTTTGCTCGCTTGTGTGTGGACGCGCGTGCGAAGTCCCCAATTCCAGACATGGGGGGGTTCTCCAATCGTGCATTTCAGCATACTTATCGGACCTCCAGAGAACTTCAAGTTTCAGCTGGGGTGATGAGCCCTTGGTGAAAGCCAAGTCGGTCACCAAACATCCCCCTTTGCACTAATTGAGCGCCCTTTTGGTCCACAAAGAGTATACCCAGTCTTGAGTATAAGTAGATAAAACAGGCAAACAGCGGCAAACCGTCATTCTGTGAATCACCCACCTTCGTTTCAGTTGAGGAGATGATCCCCAAGATGGTCGCAGCGGGCACGGACATCTTCCGCTTGAACTGCTCCCACCGTCGGGGTGGCGACTTTGAACGCGTCTATCCGCTGATCAGAAAGGCGGCACAAGATCTTGGCAGAAAGGCGGTGCTGGGCTGCACTGAAGCTTTTGAGCGGATGTCCCGGAAATTATGTGATGTGATAGCATATAGGCCATACAACATATCAGAACAATGAACAATGATTATCATACTATCGCACTATCTCGTATTATGTCATATCTATTATTCGTTTGTATGTGTAGTGTGTCACTATGTCATGGGATAAGGGTTGTGATGGGTCAGTTCGACGAGCTTTCACATCAAGCTTGTTATGTTCGCTTCAGTTGAGGGCAATTATATAGATGTATAAGAAGACGTTCTGTTGCTGCATTTTTCTCATGCAATCATCCTTCGAAGCCTAGCATTTCAAACGCAAGCTCCGGCAGGTGGAGTGCCTTGGAGACTTGCAGGGGCCCAAGTTCCGCGTGGGTGAGCTTGCGGGCGATCCCATCGAGTTGGTGAACGGCGAGATCTTGGAGTTCGGCATCTCCAAGGACGACAACGACAACATCCGCCCAGGGCGAATCACCATGAAACCCACTTTGGAGCAGAATGCCTTGATTGCAGCTGCAAAGGTGGGCATTGACCTGCTCTTGGAGGATGGCATCATGAAGGTTCGCGTGTGGTTGAACAAACACATCATTTTGGAGGGGAACAATTGCAAGACCAGCTTAACTTTAACATGCTCAACATGTTCGTAGACTAGCTAGCGGATGGCAGATGTGACGTTTGGTCATTTATGGCGTGCTATTCACGGCTGTTCACACATAGGCCAGGCCTGTTGCAACAGACCTGGGTGTTTTGCCATGTTTGAGGTGAACGTCGTTGAGAAGCTCAGCAACACGGAATTGAAGGTGAAGGTGGTCCGTGGTGGCAAGCTGAAGGCTCGAAAGGGTGTCAATGTGCCAGACGTGGAGATCGACTGCGCTGCCTTGACGGCCAAAGATATCGAAGACGCTGAGTTTTTGCTGCAGTTGGATCCACCCATCGAGTACATTTGCGTGTCTTTCGTGCAGAAGGGGCAGGACTTGCAGGAACTCATCGACATCATGGATCGCCTCAAGATTCCGCAGGACACAAGGGGACTAAAGTGAGATTGAAAGGGCCCAGCTTGGAAGCATTGTACAGGGCATTGGAAAATGGAAAAGGGTGTATTAAAACCGGTCTCGGCTTACAAAAGCCACCTTCGAAGGTCTGGTCTCGGCTTTAATCAATGCCGCAATGCCTTAATAAACCTACGAAGCAATGCCTTTACTTTCAGCCAGGAGCGACGGCCCAAGATTTGCCCAAAGATCGAGAAGCCGCAGGCGCATCAGTTGGCCTATGGTATTTGTTTCCTGGTGCGGGGACCTTGTGTTCAATATCCACACTTAATGCTCTTGAACAGCCCATTGCTGTTGCCATTCTATAGCTTGTTGCAATTCCTCAGATGAACTTGTCAAATTGACCCCACCAAGTCATTTCCTGGCCTCACTATGGGGCCCACCAAGTCCTTCGCAAGGCACTGACCAACATCGATGGCATCATTGCCAAGTCCGAGGCGCTCATGGTGGCACGTGGGGATTTGGGCGTCGAGCTGGAACTCGAACGGGTGCCCTTCGCGCAAAAGTTGCTGATCCGAAAGGCCAAGGCCGGATGGTCGCATTGTTGGACGCGAGTGTGGGAGAAGTTGCTGCGATGTGATTGGGAAATAGTAGTAGGAATACTACACACACACATATATATATATATATTATATAAACACTACATCTGACTACTTAACCATTTCCATCCATTTCCATTATTCTACCATTACAGGTTTTTGATTTGTGTTTTTTGTTTGACTTGCCAGGATGCAGGCCTGTTTGTCATCAATGCCACCCAGATGGTGGAGAGCATGCCCCCAAGCTGCAAGAATCACATGAGTATGCACCATAGCGTGGCATGTCACGAAAGCTAGCTGTAGCTAGCTGGAGTCTGTCTTGCTTTAGCAAGGAGGATGGGAGCCGAGGACCTGAGTGCAGATACCTGATTTATCAGGCTTTAACCCCCCCCCCCGGCGGGTTCAACTCCACCCTTCTCCTCAGTACCTGCTGCTGCTTGGTCTCTTGCTGCTTGCATGCTTGGTGCTGCTGATTGCCTTTGGCTGCTTGCTGGTTGCTGCTGACGTGTTGGGGCATGAGCGAAGAGTTCGGTGGGGGAAGCGGGTGATGAAGAGTTTGGTGATGTTTGGTGGAAGCATGGCAGTAGTTGAGTTTTCCCTTTGTGCATCCTATAAATTCCTATATTAACTATTAATTAACTATATTATTGTCACGCTGCCCCAACTCGTGTCATGGTACGGTTGATGCCATTCATGCGGTTCAGGGTTGCTGCACTTGTTGCAACGCAACACTGCTGCTGCCTTTGCTGCTGCTGCTGCTGCCTTTGCTGCTGCTGCTTTGCTGCTGCTGCTTTGCTGCTGCTGCTTTGCTGCTGCTGCTTGACTGCTGCTGCTGCTGCTTGGCTGCTGCTGCTTGGCTGCTGCTGCTGTTGCTGCTTGGCTGCTGCTGCTGCTGCTTGGCTGCTGCTTGGCGGCTGCTTGGCGGCTGCTTTGGCTGCTTTGGCTGCTGCTGCTGCTGCTGCTGCTTGGTAGCTGCTGCTGATGCTGCTGCTGCTTGGTGGCTCCTGCTGATGCTGCTGCTGCTGCTTTGTAGCTGCTGCTGATGCTGCTGCTGCTTGGTAGCTGCTGCTGCTGCTTCTGCTGCTGCTTGGTAGCTTCTGCTTGCTGCCGCTGCCGCTGCTGGTTACAGTTATTGTTGTTGTGGCTGTTGCTGCTGCTGCTGCTGCGGCGGTTGCTGGGGTGGTTGCGTGTTGCCATGTGTTGGGGTCGTATTGGGGGGGCGCTGTTGGCACTCTCCTTTTCCCTTGGCCATGGCATGTTGCGAGGCCCGGCCTGGCTTTTGCTGCCTAAAGAGCCCCAGCGTTGTTATTTGCCTAGCTTTCGCCACCCCCCGCTGGGCCACAAGTGCCATTGGCTCTTGGAAAATCTCCGGTGGCAGGTCACAATAATAATGGCTCCAACATATTGCAACCTATGTTGAAATGTGAAAAAGTGTCAACAAGTCAAAGCCGTGAAGATATCCTTGTGATTCCTTGTGCCTTTCGTGCCTTCAAGACGATTGGCCTCAGAACTCAGAGCTCCCATGATTGGTCGCAAAATCCTTCTCCTGAGCCTTGTGCGAGGATCGAGAGCCCGGTGCCCACACGGGCAGAAGTGAGTGACCTCCAAAATGCGATCTGGGATGGTGCAGATGCTGTCATGCTGAGTGGTGAGGCAGAGAATATTCGGGTATCGCTATGAATCAGCTTGATTTCATTTTGATTTATTCCCCGACCACAGCTAATTGATGCCTAGTCCTAGAGACCCATAATGTGCCCCACGCTTCGACCTGGAGGCCATCCGTGTCTCCCCTCCGAGAACCAGAAAGACCAGTGACCAGTCCGCCCCAGACTTGACGATGCTGCGAGGCTGCCAGTGGCAAGTTCCCGTGCGAGGCGGTGATGGCCGAGGCCGAAGCCGCCTTGGAGGCTGAGAGTGTGCCTTGGCTGTGTAGGGTGGAAAACACCAAAAGAGACAATTGAGACTGAAATGGAGTGAGGGGGACTGGATGGGACTGGACATGATAGAGCGTTGGGCGGAGGAATTGGGGTGGTGATGATGATGGTGGTGGTGGTACTGGTGAGGTCAAAGATCTCCTGCAGCCGCGCCTGGGCGTGGACTACTTCTGCGACGAGGGCAACAAACCTCGAGAGATGGACGACGCCAAGCGCCGCACCAAGGCCAGGTCGGTTGGTTTTGCAAGTTTTGAGTGGGTGTAGTGTCGGTTGGGTCGGTTTGAGTGAGTGTCAGTTTGAGGTTTGAGTTTTGCAGTTTGGTCGGTTGGTTTCGCTTTTGGGCTAAGAGACTGGATAATTGGATGCAGAATATGTGCCTGTGTTAACATACTCCAATCACAAAAAACTACGATCCAAATATCCCCCCCTTCTGGCAGGTGGTGGCAAGCTTGGGCCCAGCGTCATGGAGTGAGGAGAGAGAAGAGGGTAGCCTGCAGCAGATCTAAAAATTGGAATCAGCAACTATACAGTACAGGAAGGGCTAGCTATCCAAGGAACAGGCGTGGTGGCATGCAACCCCAATTAACAAGGAAGTCTATCTATAACTCAATCAAGCAATCAATCAATCAATCAATCTATCTATCTATCTGTCTATATATGTTTATCTCTACAGACACTATCTATATATATATATATGCCGTGTTGTCCATTCTGTTCTATTTGTCGTTCGTGTTTGTTAACAATGTTTTGCATATTTTGGGCCAATGCTGTACTTACTCAATTCGTTTGGTAGGTCAATGCCCAAGGCACACAAGCCATCGCAAGCCTAGAGGGGTTCACAAGACACTTGCCAAGCTTATGCCCATGGTCAAGCGAAGGAATGGTTTAAGGTCTTATGAGTTGTTTCAGGAGATGATCCCCAAGATGATCGAAGCAGGCACCGACATCTTCCGCCTGAACTGCTCCCATCGCCGTGGTGGTGACTTTGAGCGTGTGTATCCGCTGATCCGCAAGACCGCTCAGCAGATGGGCAAGAAGGCCAGCCTACGACCGGCACTCGCAGACTTGGGCCCAACAAGGATTCAATGGTGAGTGGGTATGGGGTGGACATTGGGGCCCCACAAGACGCTTGCGAATGGTGTTCCCACCGTTTCCCTTCACCAGGTGGAGTGCTTGGGAGACCTGCAAGGGCCAAAGTTCCGTGTTGGCGAGCTGGCCGGAGATCCAGTGGAGCTCAAGAATGGTGAGATCGTCGAGTGTCCCTGGCTGGTTGGATGTGTTTGTATATCCATGTTGCATTTTTATCCAACTTGGGGGGCGGTGATTTCAATGAAGGAAGCAACGCCAGTTCCCAGCATGGATCTTCAGTATTTGCTGCATTCTTTTGCAGCCCCCCGTAACCCCACCTTTCCATACCTTTCCCCTTTGACACAGGCGTGCCAGACGTCCTGAGAGACCGAGACCTGGCACTTGCCAGGTTCGGCATTAGCGTGGATGACAACGACAACATTCGACCTGGGCGCATCACCATGAAGTCGCTTTGCTATGCTTTGCTGAGTTTTCGACAGAGTTCGGGCGGTCTGACTCTTCAAAACTGAGTCTTCACATTTTTTCATGATCAACCGAATATAGTTAGTATGTAGCTGTGTCAAGTGCCAAGTTCATCCCTGATTAATATTAATTAACTATAGTTTGAGATTTATGCTTGAGTACTTTTTTCCGTCACTGGCTCTTTGGAAGAACCTCGTGCAAATGCGGCAGTTCGACGTTGCAGGCCAACGACAGAGCAGAACGCGCTGGTGAAGGGATGCAAGGCGAAGAAGAATGAAACTCTCCTGACCCAGACATAAAGTTGAGGTGTAAGAGTCGGAGAGGAGAAATGGTTTTATATGGTTTTATGTTATTTGTTGACTTGAGCCCTAGTGAAATTGCATCTCACACGGATGCATGAGCTTCCGTGGGGTGCGGTGAGATCATCCCCAGATCCCAAAGGTTTCAAAAGAAGCTTTGACCTGCGGATGTGGTGTTGAAAAGAGTGTCATGATAAATGACACACTGAGGAATGCTGGTACATACATAATCATACACATAGGTTGTATGTGTTCCATCGACGACTATACTGAATCACGCATCCAGCCCGGCAGGTCGGAACGACCCTGCTCATTGAAGATGGCATCATGGAGGCGCTTCGATTCGCTTGGCTGCACTCGCTCGCTCGGTCTCGACCGAGCGCTCACGGCAGGTCATTGTCACCGAGAAGCTGAGCGATACTGAGCTCAAGGCCGGGGACAACTTATGAAGTCAACGTGCTCCTGGGATTTTCTGGAGCCCCTTCTGCTTCACCGTGTTTGTGCTTCTCAGGTGCAGATCACCCGCGGCGGAAAGTTGAAGGCCAGAAAGGGTGTCAACGTGCCTGACATCGTGGCTCGTCCTAAAGCAGGTTCTTTCCACGGCCTTCAGGCCCTCGGCAACTGCAGATCGAACAGTGACAAGCACCAGCCAGTTATTGTAAATCCGTGATGGTACATGGGTTATTTCAATTAATCATGGTGTTCCGGACGTCCAATTTCACTGAGACTTGAGGAAATTGATTGCGCAGCACTCACAGTGAAAGACATCGAGGACGCTTCGCAAGCTGGCATGTTTTTGTTGCAAAGGTCATTGGGCTCTTCAGCCGGTTTCAGATGGGGTGGTCCCCCAGCTGAAAGGCCCAGAAGCAATAAGAAACACAGAAGCGACGATCCGGATCACAGGATGCTGAGTTCCTTCTGCAGTTGGACCCTCCGATCGAGCCTGGCCCTAAGCCACTTTCTGTAGGGAATGCTTAAAAATATACCGGAATCAGATGAGTCCGACATACCTGCGTTGTGCTTTGGAAGATTGAATTGAATGAAAGATAATGAAAGCATCGTTCATAGGTACATTTGCGTTTCCTTTGCGCAGAAGGCACAGGATTTGCAGGACTGGAGCTCATTGGCGCAAAGTTGTGTTACTGCACACAGGCTACAGTAGCATTTCGGGAAGTTTGGAATGGGCTGGGCTGCGCAGGTGCAGGATGTTGTAGGAATATGTTGGGATCGGCTCGTGTACAAACTTAGTAGACCTATATTGCGTAGTTGCACGCCTGGTTCAATGAGTTGTCTACTGTTACGTATAATATATTACAATATATTATTTAATATACATAGAGGTACGATATGAGGCTTGTATAGGTGTCATGATCATGCTGACCACCTGTTTCTGGGAATGGGGCAGATGATTTGACTGCTTCACTGCTTTTAGGTTGCTTGCGCTTGCGACATGCACCATGCTTCCAATTCTGTGTTGCGCTGCAGGAGCTCATCGACATCATGGACCGACTAAAGATCCCAGCAGAGTGCCTTGGTCATGGCGTTTTTTGTTGCAAAAAAAGCACAGAACCAACATGAACCAACCAAGCTTTTGATCAGAATGTCTGAAGCAGATGCATGCAGGACTTGTACCTACCTTTTGGAATCTGGTGGAGTGTGTTTTTTGAGTTCCCAATTTCACATCTCACATCCTGCCAAGGAAACGACCCAAGATTTGCCCAAAGATCGAGAAGCCTCAGGCTCTGACCAATATCGAGCCGTGGCTGAGTACTCATTTCTTATGAAGAGCGCAAAAGAAATCTCGAACACACCCACAGAACGAGAAATTTGCCGTTGAAGTCGGCGGCCCACTTTGGGTGTTGGCGTTTTTGGCCCAAATGGTTTTGAGTGAAGTAGCGTCCTTGCTCCTAGTAGTAAGGCCAGGAGCCCCTAGTAGTGTCCTTGCTCCTAGTAGTAAGGCCAGGAGCCCCTAGTAGCGTCCTTGCTCCTAGTAGCGATGCCCTTTGCTCCTCGTAGCTTTTTAATGCTCCTGTGGTTGGCTGAGGACGGCATCATTGAAAAATCGGAAGCTTTGATGGTTGCTCGTGGTGATTTAGGCTCGCCTTCATGGGAGAATTGAACAATGCTCTAGGACTCTTTTGTTTTTAATAGTGGTAGCTGGACATTGAAGAATCGCAAGCCAGCAGCTAACTTCAGAGATTGGATAAACAGAAGAAGCTGCTCGCAATGCTAATTAGCACACCCACCAAGACAACAAAAACTCAGGGGCTGCAAATCGAAATGACAAAATAGCATAAAATAGCAAGATGGGTGAAGTATGAATCGGCCTTTTTGAAATACAGAATACGTATATGAATCGCCTTGTTTGATTCTGATATCGAATTTGGAATCTGTATGAATCTGTGTGAGTTTGGGCATCTGACGTTGGACACTCAGGTGTGGAGCTTGGCCTTTGCCGTGTCCCCTTTGCGCAGAAGTTGCTGATCCGCAAGGCTCGGACCCCACGGCAGGCCGAGACCACTGGAAACAACAAGCATCCAAACTGCCTGAGGTGGTTGAGTTGAGGATTTCTTTGTAACACTAGCAGCTTGGCAGCTTGTAGTTCTATCAGCTTTGGAGGAGTATCCCAAATCTTTGCGATTTGTGCGGCACATTCCCACCATTTCCCGATCTGCTTGCGAAGACAAATGGGGAGATGGTGCTGGACAGGCCAAACAGGCCGGTCTCTTCGTGATCACCGCCACGCAGATGGCCTCTCGGGCAAGGAGGAACATGATGGAACATGTCATGACCACCAAGGGCATCAAAAAGCATCGAGAATTAAGTAAAGATTCGCATGAAAAGGAAAGAACATGAAAGAACACATGAGTGCAAACAAGGCAAACTAGTCATTGGTATTGTTTGCTCCCGGCAAATCATTCTTCGGTTCTCACGCTACGTATCTTCCGTTCCTTTGAAGCCCTGGTGCCATCTCCTCTCCTTACCTGACCAAACATGGCCCAAGAAGACCAATAGGCCAAACCATGCCAAACTTATTTTGTTTAAAACCATTTTGCAACCGGAGAACTCGCTAAGCCCCTTTCAAGTCACAATCAAAAGATGGCTGGGAGACGTGTCTAAAAATGGCTATGCCGTTTTCTAACTAGCAACAAGAAGCTACTAGGAGCTCCTGGCATCGCTACTAGGAGCAAGAACGCCACTAGGGGCTCCTGGCATCGCTACTAGGAGCAAGGACGCTACTTCACTTATTATTTTTTAAAATCTATTATCATAATATGGACTCTCTGACGATGCAGACTCCATTTGTCTCCCGAGGTGGAGAGCATGATCGAAGCGCCCGTGCCGACTAGGGCCGAAGTCTCGGACCTTTGCGCCTTGACAAGTCTTGACACCTTTTCGTTGGTTGAAGGGTGATTCAAAGGCTGGTAGAGAGGGATAGAGATAGGGGCAAATGAGATTTTTTTAAAACAAAATATATAGTAATATTAAAAAAAACAAATATATATATATATAGATAGAGAGAGAGCTATATATATATATATATTGATTGTAGTGTAACTAGGACTGCTAGCTAGGATATTGACGATGTGGTGATGGAACATGATTCAACAAAATTCATGATGCCACTAGTGGGGAAGGCATTATGTGTACATATTGCGAATTCTTCATTGCCCACCAGCTTTGCACAATGTCACAGATGTGGCTCCAGGCCAAACTTTACCAGGGGTTTTGTACTTTCATTTAGCTGTTTGCTAGGTGGAATCTATTCGATTGCATAATGGGCTGTGATGTGAATGCAAGGCAATGCTGTGTGGGATGGCACCGATGCGGTCATGCTTTCTGGAGAGGCTGGATCTCGATGGATCTCGAGAAGTTGTCTCTTTTGCCTTACCTCGCAGGTCTGTTTATCATAGACACACATCTTCTGTCAGGCAGCCAGTGGCAAGTTCCCATGCGAAGCAGTGTTAGCAGAAGCTTCAGCTGTGAGAGAGGCCGAGTCAGCCACTTTGCTGAAAGCACGCGTCGTGATGACTTGGCCATCATATACCCACATGGGCCAGGGGTGAACAGGATTCAAGATTCCAAGTCATCCAAGTCGATCACCTAGCTAACTGCGACAGGGGCACAGTTTACGAAGATTGCCTGCAGTCGTGCGCCAGAATGCGAAGCAGGAAGTTAAGTTCGCTGGACGAACGAACAGGCAAGAAGACTGACGGAGATTGTATGGTAGAGACATGCACCGACATTGGACAGAGATTAGCATCTTTTGATGCCGAGGTAGAGCATAGAGTTTTCCCAGCGCCTTGGTTTGCAGGAGAGGCGAGGTGTAGTTTGAAGACAGGTCCGGACATGAATGACTCAAGCCATTGTCCAGAGTTCAACATGTCCCAGTGCAAAGATCTCAGAGCAGCGTTTGCGGATCTGAGGCGATCCCTGCGGTGGTTTGAACAATGGTTTCAATCTGAGCAGTGACGCTCTTAAACGGAGGTTTGCCCGGATGCTCGACTTGTATGAATTTGTATAGTTTAGTTAAAATAATAGGACATACACCTCATGCTCGCAGATCTGATCTCCAAATGGGAATCACGATTACTGGTAGCATACAAAAGCAGAATGCCACCGATCCCGGCTATCCAGGCTAAACCTTCAATCTTTTCTCATTTGCTTTATTTGCCGGCCAATTAGCGGAGACCCGATAGCCGCTGCTTAAAGCAGCCGTGAGCAGGGCAGCCGATTTGACCACCCTGTGCCTGGCCTGATGGGGCCACCAACACCTCACCCAATAGCACCAGGCCGCCTCTGTGGCCATGGCTCCTTTCGGATCGGACACAGGGCCACCAGTATCGGTGGGCGTCGACGGCTCAGCCGCCAAAGGGTTGTGCTGCTGAGTTCGGCTCATCTTTGGAGGTAGTTTTCTTAACTTGTGGGGTGGGGAGGCAGGTGCTTCTATAATTTTCTACCTCTATAGAGGTTATTGAGACCCCCCTGAAAGCCCTTATACAGGACAGGACTTGGGCCTTGGATGGCTTATTTTTAATTGCCATGACAAGTGCTGAACTTTTGGCAATGGGGATGCATGTTGATGCAGGGACCATCAGGTACCAAAGTGGTACCTTTTTTCCAAAGTTGGGCCATCAGGAATCGCCCTGCGGAGCGCTTCTTACTGCATTTCCAGTGCGATAGCCTCTATTCAGCCAGTGAGCTCGTCTGTCCAGTAGAGCAGGGCATGTGTCAAAGATACTGGGGCTTGGTTTGAATCCAACTCACTTGGCTGCAGTTTTCACATTTGGAAATGCCGGCAGAACAGGAGGGGAGACCTCCCTGTTCTCCATGCGTCTTTTTTTGGCGTCTCCAATCGGAGCCGGACTGCTCGACTCGAAAGAAATGGCAGGGTCCTCCATAGGTCCATCTGAATCTTTCGGATCAACTACAAGAGGTCAGCGTGAAATAACCAGCTACATGCACAGAATAGTGCATTCATAATTCGATACTGAGAGCAGCTGTGTTGAACACATGGCCACTGACAGGAACCTGTGGTCTGCTCCACGCGAGGGGTGGAGGAAGGCCACAGGCGGGGTGCAAGTGGTGCAAGTGTAGCAAGTGTAGCTGCCCCTTTGTTGGTCAACCAAGTTCCACGCCGTGCTCAGCAGACTGCCAGAGGTGATGGAAGTTATGCTGAGTTCTGTACTAAATATATATTTGCATATATAGCGTCAAGTCTCCGAAAGCTAGTGGTTCGAGAGAAAGCTGACCGTAGCAGGTTCTACTCTTCAGTTGCCCATTAGATGGGCGAAGTGCCAGGACCCGTGGGGGTTGTTAGGACTGTTGCACTGGTGGCATAAGCACCAGGTGGTTGTGACTAGTATTCGTAGGGCTTAGCTTGGAGTGGTGTTTCTCTCGCAACTGGGCTGCGAGACTTCCAGGTCGGGGTGGCAAGAGCACCGAAAAAAACTGTGTGAATCTGGTTAACCAACCCAACATTCCTGCAGGAGATGGCAGGGATGGGGGTTTTGGCGCCATTGCCACTGGCAAGGGCCTTGGAACACAGAGAGGGCAATCTGATGCACTCACAATCTTCCTGCTGCCATCCCAAGAAGCCAAAGAGGATCAAAGAGGTTTCCAACTCACCGGGTTCATTCATTTGATTCCATTTGTAGTGACTAAGACAGTAATTCTTCGCAGTCCCGACACATCGAGGCATTGAATCAATTGCTGCCGCCCTGCAACTCTTCGACCTTTGCGAGCCTGTGACTTGACCGCACCAGCATGACCAATCAGCGGCTCTCGACCAACAGCGGTAAGCGGTCGGCAGTCGAGCCACGGACTGTTCTTCCGGGTGGCTCATAGCTTTGGAGTTGCTGGGGGTGACGCACGACGCCCATCTGTGACCCATGATATCCGCCCCAAGATCAACAGCCTTGCAAGTCTGATTTCGTCCCTGAGGACATGTTTCAGATTTCAGACTCATGACTCAGTTACTCCTTTGGAAACCTATGGGGGGCTCCCTGGTTTGTGCTGAGATAAGTCAGCAATCAATTGATTTTGAATGAGGCTGAGAGTGGGGCCAGCATTGCGTGGAGCCCAGGAGCAGCGAAAAGGGCTACGCGGCTACTTGCTCCGGCCAGTCTTGGGCTTCCAAAGGGCAAAAGTAGGTGGCCTGCAGACAGGAATTGAACTGCTAGATGACTTGGCGTCATCCGCAGACATACGACGATCCTTCTTCTTGTCTTTGTCAAGAGCACCTTGTGTTGCACAGCTGCGGGTAAGAGCCTGTTAGTTCGCCCCGTGTTCTGGGCCCTGCCAGCCTAGGCCCTTGACAAGCTCAAGCAGGTATTGAAACAGCATGTGCCTTGGCAGGGCTTGTCCTTTTGCTCAATGTGGGATTTGGCTTTGGCAATCTTGCAACAAAAGTGGTTGGTGCGGCTAGCGGTTAGAATTGATCATTTCGAGTTTCGAGATTGCCGTCGAATATTAATACTGTATATCAGTATATAACAGTACATAAAATTCTTCACATTTAGTTCTTTCGAGCACCTCGGGCACACGTCGAAGTGTGCGTTTGATCGTGACGACATGTTTCAGCCCGGCAGGTGGGGGAAACTCATGACATCGATCAAGTGCTCAGGCGCAGTTTGATTTGTGCTTCGTTCGTCGATCGTCGTGAGCAAGCCTCAGAGTGGGGGAAGTCATCCTTCGAATTCACAGAACAACATCTCACCAAGACTGGAAGACTGGAACCATGAAGTATGAAATACTATGAACATCTATCAACCTTGAACATCCGTGATCTTGCACACCAGGCCTTCGATGTTTTGAAGCAGTTTGCTGTGACAAGGCCTCTCCGAAGTGAGACTGGCCAAACGAGCATGGGGGATGGCCAAGTAGACTTCCTCAGCTACTGGCAGCCAGGACCCTAGGCTGTGGAGCACAAAGCGCCACAAAGACTTTGGTTGGACGAACGCATAGCTCTCCCCAGAATTTGCTTGAGATTTTGAAGCCAGAAGCCTGCCAACCAAGCACTTTTCCTGCTGAATGCAGAGGCCTGTTATATCCTGCTATCCGCTGCTGGAGAGCATACGCCAGAGCAGGGGGGACATCCATGTCCTTGCATCGACCAAGGTGTATGGATAGCTTTTTTCGAGCGGCAAGCTTGGTGAGAAACACTTGCCTTGAACAAACGATCCAGCACTGGAGCCATGATTCTGTCCAAAGTCAGTGCTTACGCAGTGACCCAGGAAATTAGTGGAGGACGGGCTTTGTTTGCATTTCTGCATCACCATGTCCTGAGAGGCTTCTTCAAGTCACGCTCTTTGCTTTAGAGTGTTTTGTGGAACAGTCTGGTCCTTGTTGGCATCTTCATGATTGACCAACTTGCACACTCAAAGCCATAGCAGAAAGGGCAAAGGGGAAGAAGACATGAACAGCTAGGAGCAAGGACGCTACTACGGGCTCCTGGCCATACTACTATAGTAAACAAGGACGCTAGTAGGACCAAAGGGCATCACTTCTAGGAGCACGGATGCTACTAGGAACAAGAAGCTACTAGGGGCTCCTGGCATCGCTACTAGGAGCAAGGACGCTACTACACCCAGTGAGATTCAAAACGCATTTGCAGGACCTGGCCGGCTCACAGAGGCTGCGGTCCAGGGAGAAACTGTTGGAGGCCCCAGTGGACATGTTCCACAGCTCCTGGAGCTGTGACACCCAGACAACTTGAACGGCCATAGGACTTAGGTCAATTGTGGAACAGATTCGCTTTTGCTTTTTTTGGGGGGGGGTCTCTGCAGACCACAGGCATTAGGCATTCTTGCAACAGATCAGGCGGAATGCTGAATCTTTGCCCTTTCGGATTCTGCTGCACTATGTAACTATGCAGATATCTATATAGAATATATAGACTCAATGTGCCTGCCGGAACTTTGGACACAACTCCACGTCGGCCTCAAGAAGATAGGGTTGTTAGCAACACGACCGCCCCCAAAAAAAAGACACAACACTATCATATAGTCATACAGTATCATTTGATTTTCTGAAGTCGTGTCTCACCTAAGAAGCTGAGGATACCATCCGAGGAATGCGGCGCTTCCGGGATGGGGTTGGGGTGCTCAGAGGGTGGATGCTGGAGGTTTGGAGACATATTCTGGAGATGCTTCGCAGAAGCAGGCGTAATAATTACACAAAAGAAAGACAGAGAGAGGCAGAGAGGGAGGAAGAGGGCAAACAGAGGAAGAGAGAGAAAGAGAGAGAGAGAGAGTGCACGAGGGAGAGCTCAGATAGAGGTCGCCCGGTTCTATTTGACATCCTCACATGGGAAGCATATTTTTTGGGTGTGATGAGGTCTTACAGCTTTGGCAGGGTGGGAAGGATGTGATCCCGTCAGTGCAGCTCAAGGCAGGACGGCTCTACAGAAACTGATGAATGATATATAGTTATATGTATCGAGAGACATTCAGATGCTTCGATGGGTGGCTGAAGAATGACAAGGCCACCATCTAACCAATAATGGCCTTCCAAGCCAATAGGGCAGAACAGAGTTCTATTTTTATTTGATTTTAAGTGAACCTTTTTAGTGCTGGTCTTGTCTCACTGGAATCGGTCGCCTCTGGCGGGCTGCTGCAGCTGGGCCGCGGTCGCTGCGGTCGCCGCGGAGGCTTTGCTCTCTGAGATTCGTGACGCCTCAGATGATCCCAGCTACTGGGAAGAGGTGATGCAGGTCACGGGCGATTGAGGAGGGAGAGGTCGGTTTGTGGTGTGAAAGCATGTGAAGACATGTGAACATTGTCCCAAAACATTGAAAAAACTACCGGGCATGCAGCAGAATCAAAGAGAAGTTCTCCTCCAGTGCAAGGACAGGAGTGAATGGGGTGGGTCAGTCCAGGTCATTGAGTTCATTTTGTCGAAAGACTGAAGTCAGCCCATACATCAAGTCAAATGTTATCTTTCCACTCACTGCCGGGAATAATGGGCCTGTA